CACACACACACACACACACACACACACACACACACACACACAAGTCAGTATGCTTGAAAGACATGAATTTGATACCTGACACCCATGCCAGAAGAAGCTGGACTTGATGGTGGCACATTCTTTTGATGCCATCACCAATGAGGTGGAGGCAGGTGGATCCTTGCAACTGTGCCTGGCCAGCTTAGCCTACTTGGTGAGTTCAAACCAGAACTGAGACACCTGGTCTGGGGAAAGAAAGGAAGGAGGGAAGAAAAGTAAGTGAATGGTGCCCAAGGAATGATACCCAAGGTTGTTCTGTTCCCACACATGTGTGTCACACACACACACTGAAATGTAGGGCCTGCTAGGAAACAAACCAAGGACATTTTGCATGATACTGAGGACAGCTCTGAAGGCTGTAGCTTTCTGGATTTGTCTTGGGTGAGATGAAAAAGCAAAAGGGACAGAGTGGTGTTGGGGAAGAGAACCAGGAAAGTGTCCAGCAGGTTGTCTGTCCGGTGGACATTTCCCCTCACCTGTTTTTCCATCTCATTTTACACCTCCTGATACAGATAGTGTTATGCTGGTCTAGTTTACCAAAAGCTTCGGGTCAGTCCTAGCAGATACCCCTTCAGGAAACAGGACTTTCTTATTAGCCAGAGGAAACCAACAAAGTACATTTTGAAGAGTTATGTTTTCTTTATGTTCATCTGATATTTATGCATCTCTCCCCATATGCCATAATGGTGTCATTAAGACAGAACTCTGAAGTATAAAGGCATAAAGAACCCCCAAGACTTCTTTTGTTTGTTTACTTGTTTTTGTTTTTGTTTTCCCCAAGACTGTCTGAGTAGCTCTGGCTGTCCTGGAACTTGGTCAGGAGACCAGACCAACCTCAAACTCAAAGATGAACCTCCAAGATTTCTATCTAAGCCTTGCCTTGAACTATGAAGTCATTATTGAATATATGACTGCTCTGACAACTGGAGACCACTCTTATAGAATATAAAATTTAAGTAATCCATCTGACCATGTAGTTTCAAACACTGATCTCTATGCTTAACAGGTCAAGACCTGATTGGAACTGAGTGCTTCTCTGGTCTCATAGCAAATGTTTGAAGTTATAGCAATCATGGAGCTATGATTTCAGCCTGCGGGCTTCACCCTGGCATTAACTGGTCAGGA